TGTCAATATATTCATTGCGTCTGCTAGTGAATGTCATCTCTGGACGCTGAGACAAAGATAAAATAGTATCAGTCAATATTTCTGAGATGAGGTCTTATGTACACTATTTACATTACTCGGACTTTTGTCCTCATCTTTATTGTTATATTTATCACAACGTTTCGGCCTTTCAGTATGTGTCTATATTTCTGAGATGAGGTATTATGTACAATATTTACATTATTCGGACTATTGTCCTCGTCTTTGTCGCCATATTTATTACAACGTTCCGGCTTTTCAGTATCTGTCTATATTTCTGAGATGAGGTCTTATGTACACTATTTACATTATTCGGACTATTGTCTTCATCTTTGTTGCCATATTTATTACAACGTTCCGGCCTTTCAGTATCTGTCTATATTTCTGAGATGAGGTCTTATGTACACTATTTACATTATTCGGACTATTGTCCTCATCTTTGTTGCCATATTTATTACAACGTTTCGGCCTTTCAGTATCTGTCTATATTTCTGTGATAAGATATTATGTGCACTATTTACATTATTCGGACTATTGTCCTATTCTTTGTCGCCATATTTATTACAACGTTTCGGCCGTTGTACGCTCCGGCCTTCTTCAGCTGGTTGGAATTTCGAACTGAAAGACACGTAGTACAGTGGATAAAGGTGTTGGTTAGATCCAGTGACAGGACCCAAAGAGTGTGGGTTCAATACCCGTTTAAGGCAGTGGAGAACTTGGGGTGGGGAATTAACAGGAGATAACCGATAACTGACATCCATTAAAACATGGCACGTGAAACTAGAACAGTCTCCCCCGGTGAGTGAAAAAAAAGTCTTCAGTTCGACATTCCAATCACCTGAAGAAGGCCGGATCGTAAACGGCCGAAACGCTAATAAATATGGCGACAAAGATGAGGACAATAGTCCGAATAATGTAAATAGTAAAAGATGAAATGTTTTCGTCGTTTAAATTACTTGGCAGCATTTGCCTTTGTTTCTAATGTATTTTTCCTGTTTCTTAATATTTTGCTTAGCTTTTGCAAAGCAACTTTCGCTAAAGCAATGCGTGCTCGGTATTCGGTCTTGCCCTTTCAAATCTCTGTTAAAACTTTTCCAAAACATTGATGTCGACATTTTTCTGACTGAAAGACTATATTTTCAGCCTTCTTGACATTGATTTTTAGTCCTTTTTTCACGCTTTCTTTTAGTACTTTGTCTAAAAGGTCTTGTTTGTTTGTTTTTTTTTCTTCAACAACCAAAACATTAAAAACATTTCCAAGATATTTAAACTTCTGTACTTCCTGGATGTCGACAATTCCAATTCGTAACCCGCATCTTGGACTTTTTCTATTACTGAATGACCAGGCTTTCTATCTTCTTGGCGTTTACAGTTAGTCCTTTCTTCTTGCTTTCTTTTAATACTCTGTCTAGAATGTCTTGTCGCCTTTCACTTTCCTTGTCAACAATCAAAACTTGCGTTAAAACATTTCTAAGATATTGATGTCGGCATCTCCGATGCGTAACCTGCCTCTTGGGCTTTTTCGCTGACTGAATGACCATATTTCCTATCTTCTTCCTATTGATAGTTAGTCCTTTTATCTTGCTTTCTTTTAATACTCTCTCTAGAATGTCTTGTCGCTTTTCTTTTTTTTTGGTCAACAATCAACAATTGCGTTTAACCAATTCCATGATATTTTAAACTTCATAGCCCGCATCTTGGGTTTTTCTATTACTGAATGAACGTATTTTCTGTTTTCTTGATGTTGATAGTTAGTCCTTTCTTCTTGCTTTTTTTTTTTAGTGTCAACAGTCAGCACTTGCTTGTCGATTGCGTCTCTTATATTGTTAAGATTAAACATACCAATAATTAAATCCTTATAGGGTCACAAATCTCCTTTAGGATAATCTCATTGTAGAGGTTGAATAAATCTGGAGAGGAGACGCATCCTTGTTTCACGCCGCGTTTTATTTTTGTATAGTTACTCAATTAATTTGCTTTCCGTATACAGGCGGTTTCTCTCCCACTAGGATTACTCTGTCAGTACCAACAGACTTAGTTTCTTAACAATGCTGGATTACTATTTGATATGGTAGTGAATGCTAGATAATGTCCCCGCGGATGAAGAGAAAATTGAAGGCAATAGAAAAGTTGTTCTACAGAAGCCTACTGAGAATTCCATGGGCGAAGCGATTTAACAGTGAGGAAGTCTGAAAGAAAATGGGCTTTGATACGTTTCGTCTTAGCCCATTTAGCATGGCTGATTACAAGTCAGAAAAAATAATTGGACTATTCGGCAGAGCCATTTAGGCGCCAGACTGTCTCGATGTCACTGTCTTTGACCAGGGGAACCTCCCCTTCCATCCTCAAAGAAAAGGATAAAAGCATTGAAACCATCCAACTTTCAAAAAACAGACAAAACAAAACATCACTAAGAGGTGACCCCATCGGTAAGCCAAATTTTTATCTATAAAAAATGTTATCGAATGTGAAAAAAAAAAGTTTTTGGTACGTTTCGGCGTAGCCAATTTCGCGTCGCTGATTCGGCGTCAGAAAAAATAATTGTACTATTCGGCAAAGCCATTTAGGCGTCAGACTGTTTCGACGTCACTATCTTTGACCGGAGAACCGCAAAAAAAAAAAAAAAAAAAAAAAGGATAAAAGCATTGAAAACACCCAAATTTCAATATGACTTTCTATTCATTGAGATGATTAAGTATTCAATTCGGAGTCAATCTTTCAAATCCACAAATCAACCATTCACGCTTGCATGGAGTATTACTACCATATATGGTCTGGAGCCCCTTCTCTCCTTGATAAAATCCAAAGACGGATATGCAATGTAATTGGCCCTGATCTGGAATCTCGGACGCAGACGTGCCGTAGCCTCCCTCTGTTCTTTTTACAAATAGTTTCACGGTAACTGCTCCGATGAGCTGCTTTCGCTGGTTCCCAGACTTCATGAATTTAAGCGTTCGACTAGGCTGGCATCTCGCTCTCACCCTTTCACTGTCAAAACTGTTAAATATAGCCGTCTCTGCTACTCCAATAGCCTCATGTCTCGCATTTCTCGCCTGTGGAACTCCCTCCCCATTTCTTGTTTTCCTGGTAGCTATAATCGCCAACTATTTAAATGTAATGTCAATCGACGTATCCCCTAACCTTCACTTCATCCTTTCGTCTATCACCCCTCTTTGCTCTCGCTCCAACTCTCGTTAAGCCCTTGCGTGCTAGTGGCTTCCCACCTTGCTTGGAGCTGAATGCTTAAAAAAAAAATCACTAATGGAATAATGTAAATTAAAAAATTAAATTAAAAATATTGTATTTCAAAAAAAATAAAAAAAAAAATAACTTAGTAAAGCTGTTTAATCTTAGAAATTACTTTTTTTACATTTTTTATTTTTAATTATTTTTTTTAAGCTTCTCACCCCAAGCAAGGCGGGAAGCCACTAGGACGCAAGGGGTTACAGAAAATTTGGAGCAAGATCAGATAGGAGTGATAGAGGAAAGGATGAGAAGGGTAGTGGATAGATCAAGGCAACTTGACATGTCATTTGAATAGTTGGAGATTATAGCTCTCAGGGAAACTGGAATAGGGAAGGGAGTTCCACAGGCGAGAGGTGCGAGACATGAAGCTATTGGAGTAGAAGAGACGGCTACATTTAATAGTTTCGACAGTGAAAGGGTGAGAGCGGGATGCCAGCCTCGTAGGGCGCTTGAACTCATGAAGTCTGGGAACCAGCGAATGCAGCTCCTCGGAGCAATGACCATGAAAGTATTTGTAAAAAAGACAGAGAGGAGGCGACGGCGCATCTGACAGCAATGATTGTTCCGTCAGCAATCTAAATTTCTCTGTAGACTAAACGTTGAAGTCAGCTTATTCTTCTAAATACTAATATCCTATTAAAGGTTTCCACGGTGTTCAGATGTAATCTTACTTAACATCGATCTTTCTGTTCACATCGCCAAAACTTTAATTCAGGATCCCTCTTGCTCGTTGCGTCAGCAATAAAAAAGTCCCCATCTTTTATCACTTTTTTTCTTCTACGTTTTGGTAAAATATTTGCTTCGATTTTGGAAGAAAAACGGCTTTGACGACTGAAAAATATGAAGCTGCATGGAAGGAAATATAATATAAAAATACCTCCAACTACTCTTTCTCTTAAATTTAAAAATACATCCAACTGCTCTTTTTCTTAAATTTAGAAATACCTCCAACTACTCTTTTTCTTAAATTTAAAAATGCCTCAAACTACTCTTTTTCTTAAATTTAAAAATACCTCCAAATACTCATTGTCTTAAATTTAATAATACCTCCAACGACTTTTTCTTAAATTTAAAAATACATCAAACTACTCTTTTTCTTAAATTTAAAAATACCTCCAACTACTCATTTTCATAAATTTTAAAAATACCTCCAACTACTGCTTTTCTTAAATTTAAAAATATCCCAACTGCTCTTTTTCTTAAATTTAAAAATACCTCCAAATACTCATTGTCTTAAATTTAATAATACCTCCAACTACTTTTTCTTAAATTTAAAAATACCCCCAACTGCTCTTTTTCTTAAATTTAAAAATACATCCAACTACTGCTTTTTTTAAATTTAAAAATACCTCCAAATACTCATTTTCTTAAATTTAAAAATACCTCCAACTACTTTTTCTTAAATTTTAAAAATACCTACAACTACTCCTTTTCTTAAACGCAAAAATATCTCCAACTACACTTTTTTTAAATTAGAAATACTTCCAACTACTCCTTTTCTTAAATTAGACTTTATAAACAAATTTGAGTATAACGGAGTACTAATTTGACTACTAACGAGAGAGAGAGAGAGAGAGAGAGAGAGAGAGAGAGAGAGAGAGAGATGAGGAGTGGGAAAGAGGGAGAAAATTTGACTATAACGACGTAGTATATTATATATTAATCTGACGCCTAATCTTTCCTCTGCCGAAAAATTCCTATGTCGAATTGGACGCACCAGACAAGCACTCACGCAATCAGAGAGTGTTAGTATTAGATAGATAGATAGATAGATAGATAGATAGATAGTTTAAAAGCGCTTTATTGATTGCATTCTCAGGCAAGTTTTTGCTTCTTTCATTCATGTCTCAAACAAGTGGATAATCGGCGATTTTTTTTACAGTAATATATGTCCAAAGGAATAATGGACTTAATTTTTAATTCAACACGATTTCTTATTAGTGTAAACATTATATTAGTGGATAACCATGTTTGAGTAGATGCCCTGTTTTTTTTGTTTGTTTTTTTTGTTTGTTTGTTTGTTTTTCCAGTGCGAATTATGTTTACCAGCCTGGGAATTACGTTTACCGTATATACTCGTGTAACGCGCGATCTCGCGTATCGTGTGACCCCCAAATTTTCTTTTAGAAAAAATTATTTTATCATGTATCTTGTGTATCATGCGAGTTCCTTTTTTGAGAGATCAAATTACACTAGACAAACTTCTTTTCCCTATCTCTTTATTTCATCTTCTAGTTAAATAAGTTAAAAAATTGAAAGAGAATGATAAAAGTATCGTTAGTAACGCTATACTCGTTGCGTAAACGCATACAGCCATAAACAACTGAACGAGAAACAGCTAAACATCTTATAAACGTAAACAATGGAAAAGATGCATATTCGCCATGTTTGTATTTTATAATACGATATTAATATGTGAATATTACATGCATTATTATTGGATACAGTTTAGTAAAACATCAGTTTTACTAAAATCATGTTTATTTTAAATACAACTGTACTTTTATTACAGTAAATGGATATATAGTTTGGTCAATGGCGTAAACCAAGGCCAGCAGTTACTATACTATTTTTATATTTCATGCATGATACGACCCTCTTAAAATTAGCTTCTAAATTAGGTCTTCAAAAGTCGCATGGTACAGTATCTTTCTAGCGAATGCACAGGCGGGTAGACTTTCACTAGCTAAGTTTAAAATAAATCAGATTGAAGAACAGCTTCCCTCCCCCACATCCTCCATTTTGAACTTGTGCCATATTTTTGTATTTGCAAAATAAATATAACTTTCATCTATGGTACTTAGACTCAATGAATTTAAGTGGAGTACTAGATTGACGCTAAGATCTCATCATTTTACATTTGAAATGGCTAGATATCACCGCAAGTTCTATGCTGACAGCATCTTCTCTCGGACTTCTCGCTTGTGGAACTCTCTTCCGGTTTGTTGTTTTCCAGTCAAGTTTAAAATTAAATGCAATGTCAATCGTAGTTTTGAGCCTTTTTAATTTCTGCTCTTTTATGATTCTTGTTCTTTAATAATATTTTATCTTTTTCTTATGTTCCTTTACACTCAGTACCCTCTGCATCGTAGTGGCTTTCTTGCCTTGTCTGAGGTGAAATGATTAAAAATAAGACTATGGTTAAGCAATAGGGGCAAAGTTTATTGCAAAGCTAATGGATTGTGCCCCGAAATTAAATGTGTCATCAAACTATGGAACAAATAGAATTATATTTATAGTTGAGATACATGGAAAAAGGTGTCAGTTTAAATTGACGCCAGGAGGATATATGGTAAACAGACAGTTTTATATATATATATATATATATATATATATATATATATATATATATATATAGCATAATGAGAAGCCACGTATACTTTCTTAATATGTATATATAGAAAAGTTGCAAATCAAAAAATAATGTTTTATTTTATGAAAGTATTTAATTATTTATATATATTTTTGATATTTCAAATTGACCTCAATCTTTCATCAGAAATAACTCATTATTATTATTTATTTATATTATATTTATTTATTATTTATAGAGTTAATTCTGATGAAAAGATTGAGAACAATTTGAAATATCAAATATATATAAATACTTTCATAAAATAAAACAATATTTTTAATTTGCAACTTTCTCTCTCTCTCTCTATATATATATATATATATATATATATATATATATATATATATATATATATATATATATATTATTTTTTCTTTTTCTTCTTTTATGTACAGTGTCCCTTCAGGCCGAAGACGATCATGACCCTCCACAATCTTCTGTCCATTTTAGCCCTATATAAGTTTTCTTTTTTTGTTACCCCTCCCAGACCGTTTGTTCACGCCCATCAAGTATATCACGCATTGCTTTCCCCCTGTTCTTCTTCCCCTCTATCCGTCCTGTGAATATCAGATTTTCCGAACCCTCTTTCCTCATTTCGTGACCCAGAAATTTCAACTGCCTATTTCTGATATTAAGTAAACGTTTTCACTTTGATTCCATTCTCTTCAAACCCCTTTGTTGCCCACATGTTCGGTCCATGTTATCCTCAGCATTTTTCGGTAGAACCACATTTAAGTTGCTTCACGTCTCTTCTTCATCTTTGAAGGGATTGTCCAGCATTTGCTGCCCTACAGGAGGTCAGATATCACGTAACAGTTAAGTACTGTTTTTGTTTTGTTTGTTTGCACCGAAATTTTTCTGTTCGACCCATTGTATCATTAGCATTCTTCTGTAGAACTAGATTTCTGTTGCTTCAAATCTCTTCTCCATCTTTCAGGAGATTTCCTCGCGTTTGCTGCCATAGAGGAGGACAGATGCCACGTAATAATTCAAGACTTTGTTTAAAGTTCCCATTTTTCTTGATTTCAGACGAAAACACCAAAAATTCTGAAACAGCGAAAAGTAACATTTTCCCTTTCCCAATTATGGTTTATTATTAAACTTTAGATGTATGAGAAAAAGAAGTCATCATTTAACACTGACGACAGAATATGGTTACACTGGGGAGTTTTGCTAACTATACTGTGAGGGTTTCTTTTGTATTTTCTTAATTTCAGATGGAAACATGGCAATTTTCCAAGATATATATAGTGTCTTGCAATTAATACAAAATTTTACCAGAAACTTATGAAATGATCAAGGTTGCTTATTGAGGACTTGACGAAGCAAAAAGAATGATATTATGACCGTAGCCAATTAGTCTTTCGAGATTTACATGGGTGGGGACTTTGGGTGTAATGAAGTGGTTGGGACGCTACAGCTAGGGTATTATATTCGGAGGGACGTAATTTGGAGACAATTGGAATTTTTAGTGTTTTGAAATAAATAAAAATTTCTCCTGATAAACTCGGAATAATTGCTGGATTGCCCCTTCTATATATGGAGAGTTCTGAATACTACTACTACTACTAATAATAATAATAATGAGAAGAAGAAGAAGAAGACGAGGAAGAACAGCAACAACAAGTACAAGAACAAGAAGAACAGGAAACAGAAAAAGAAGAAAAAGAATAAATAGTAGATGAAGAGGAAAAAGAAGACGTAGAAGAAGAAGAGGGAGAAGGAGAAGAAAAAGAAGAAGAAGAAAAAAGAAGTAGAAGAAGAGAAAGAAGAAAAAGAAAAAAATATGTAGCAGATGTAGAGGAAGAAGAAGAAGAAAAAGAAGAAAAAAGAAAGAAGAAAACCAAGAAGAATAAAAAGAAGTAGAAGAAGAAAAAAAAAGAAAAAGATGTAGAAGAAGAAGAAGAAGAACAACAACAACAACAACAACAAGTACAAGAAGAACAGGAAACAGAAAAAGAAGAAAAAAAAATAAGTAGTAGTAGAAGAGAAAGAAAAAGAAGAAGAAGAAGAAGAAGAAGTAAAAGAAGAAGAAGAAAAGAAGAAGAAGAAGGAGAACAACAACAACAAGTACAAGAAGAACAGGAAACAGAAAAAAGAAAAAAAAAAATAAGCAAGTAGTAGAAGAAAAGAAAAGAAGAAGAAGAAGAAGAAAAAGAAGAAGAAGAAGAAGAAGAAGGAGGAGAACAACAACAACAAGTACAAGAAGAACAGGAAACAGAAAAAGAAGAAAAAAAGAATAAGTAGTAGTAGAAGAGAAAGAAAAAGAAGAAGAAGAAGAAGAAGAAAAGAAGAAGAAGAAGAAGAAGAAGGAGAACAACAACAACAAGTACAAGAAGAACAGGAAACAGAAAAAGAAGAAAAAAAGAATAAGTAGTAGTAGAAGAGAAAGAAAAAGAAGAAGAAGAAGAAGAAAAAGAAGAAGAAGAAGAAGGAGAACAACAACAACAAGTAAGAAGAAGAACGAAACAGAAAAAAAAGAAAAGAATAAGTAGTAGTAGAAGAGAAAAGAAAAGAAGAAGAAGAAGAAGGAAACAACAACAACAAGTACAAGAAGAACAGGAAAACAGAAAAAGAAGAAAAAAGAATAAGTAGTAGTAGAAAAAAAGAAGAAGAAATAAGAAGAAGAAGAAGAAGAAGAAGAAGGAGGAGAACAACAACAACAAGTACAAGAAGAACAGGAAACAGAAAAGAAAAAAGAATAAGTAGTAGTAGAAGAGAAAGAAGAAGAAGAAGAAGAAGAAAAGAAGAAGAAGAAGAAGAAGAAGAAGGAGGAGGAGAACAACAACAACAAGTACAAGAAGAACAGGAAACAGAAAAAGAAGAAAAAAAAAAAGTAGTAGTAGAAGAGAAAGAAGAAGAAAAAAAGAGAAGAAGAAAAGAAGAAGGAGAACAACAACAACAAGTACAAGAAGAACAGGAAACAGAAAAAGAAGAAAAAAAAGAAGTAGTAGTAGAAGAGAAAAAAAAAGAAGAAGAAGAAGAAGGAGAACAACAACAACAAGTACAAGAAGAACAGGAAACAGAAAAGAAGAAAAAAGAATAAGTAATAATAGAAGAAAGAAGAAAAGAAGAAGAAAAAAAGAAGAAGAAGAAGAAGAAGGAGGAGAAACAACAACAATGAAGTACAAGAAGAACAGGAAACAGAAAAAGAAGAAAAAAGAAAAAGTAGTAACAGAGAAAGAGAAAGAAAGAAGAAGAAGAAGAAGAAAAAGAAGAAGAAGAAGAAGAAGAAGAAGGAAGAGAAACAAAACAACAAGTACAAGAAAAACAGGAAACAGAAAAAGAAAAAAAAAGAATAAGTAGTAATAGAAGAGAAAGAAGAAGAAGAAGAAGAAAAAGAAGAAGAAGAAGAAGAAGGAGGAGGAGAACAACAACAACAAGTACAAGAAGAACAGGAAACAGAAAAAGAAGAAAAAAAAAAGAATAAGTAGTAGAAGAAAAGAAGAAGAAGAAGAAGAAGAAGAAGAAAAAAGTAGAAGAAGAAGAAGAAGAAGAAGGAGGAAACAACAACAAGTACAAGAAGAACAGGAAACAGAAAAAGAAGAAAAAAAGAATAAGTAGTAGTAGAAGAGAAAGAAAAAGAAGAAGAAGAAGAAGAAGAAAAAGAAGAAGAAGAAGAAGAAGAAGAAGAATGAGGAGAACAACAACAACAAGTACAAGAAGAACAGGAAACAGAAAAAGAAGAAAAAAAGAATAAGTAGTAGTAGAAGAGAAAGAAGAAGAAGAAGAAGAAGAAGAAGAAGACTGGATTATGATCTGTGTCAATGAACATGAAAGAAATAAACTTTATTTAGGAATTAAGGAAGCCAACAAATTCAAATTGTAATTTCAAGTCCGTGAAGAATTGCAAGTGAACCATAATGCACCTATTGCAGCGGCAAATAACCTAAAAAAGACAGCAAATGTAAATGCAATGTACCAAATGCAGAAATGATTGCAAGATAAGACTCTTCATGGTCAACAGTCTGCCCGATGTAGTCAACCCCTGTACCCATCAGTGGTTACTTAGTGGAGTGTTAAAACTAAAACCGAAGGTTTTATCCTTGCTGCACAGGAACAATGCTGGATAACTAAAAATTACCAAGCACACATAATGGAATATTCTGTGATATAATATTCAGAAACAACTGATCATCTTGTGTCATGTTTCACGGTACTAGCAATCACTGAATATATAATGAGGCCTGATAGATTGAGCCAATATATGAAGTGATAAATCTGTACCTTTTACGGGAATGAATCTGTAAGAAACTAGAATGAACATCACCCAAACCCGGTTACAAAGGTAGGATCTGTAATCATTTTATGGAACTTCACAAGACACACAGAGACAGAAGAATCAAAGCTTTGACACCGTGATCAATAACAAGAAGAACAGAATGTACTTCATTGCCCTTGCAGATTGTATCTTTAAAGATCTTCAAAAAACCATCAAAATACAAGGATCTTGAAGGGGGAAATCTCAAAAATGTGACAAATGAGGATATCAGTAATTCCGGTTGTAGTTGGAGCCCTCGGATTGATTGGAAAAGATTCCTGGTAGCCTATACCTTAAAGATATACAAACATTGCTCTCATAAGTACATCCCACACCTTATGAAGGGCTTCATATATGTAAAATATGTGCGATTTTTTTATGGTTTCGATAGATTCTTTGACGGGTTTCCTGGTAGCCCATGCCTTACAGAAATGTAAAAAAATTACTCACATTTTACGAAGTGCTTTATGTTTTGCAATATGTGTGTAATCTTAGGAGGGTGTTGACTTTATGCTGTTTTTTTTTGTGTTTTTTTTTTTATACAAAAATGCAGTGGGAAATGTCATGAGGTTATTTCTGACCCTAGGTGTCGGATTAGGAATCGGAAAGAAATGTGTATTCAACCGAAATCGAAAGAAATAATAATAATAATGATGATGATGATGAATATACCCACAGATATAACAAGGTAGCGACATATGTGCAGTGCAAGAAGCACAAAATCGAAACCACTGAGAGATGACATGAGCAAAAACCAGACAAAGTTACCCTAAAATAATAAATATAAATATGTTTTTTGTATTTAAATATAGGGCCATTTTACATATATACAAAAAGAACAACAACAACAATAATAATAATTTTATGGGGCTTTATAATAGACACAGACAGAACAATGGAAGTTAATCTCCCAGGCATCAGGATTAAAGCCCACAAGAACAGAATGAACTTACTTATTGACATGGATTTCCCTTGCAGATTGTAATGTATCTTTGAAGATCTTCAAAAAAAAAACTATCAAAATACAAGGATCTTGAAGGGGAAATCTTAAAAATGTGACACACGAGGACACCAATAATTCCAGTTGTAGTCAGAGGACTCGGATTTATTGGAAAAAGATTCCGATAGACACATTGAAGGGATTCCTGGTATTCAATGCCTTAAAGAAATACAAAAATTGTACTCACAAGTACAGATCAGACATTACGAAGAGCATTCAGTTCAGTTAAGTGCCATGCGTTATATACGCTTAGGCGATCATGTATCTTTCGATACATGTCTGATGAAGCAGATTTTTCCTACAGTAGGTTGCCATTTCTTTCTGCGGTAGACCGGTTGTCATCTAAGGCTATAGAACTCGGTCTGTCTTGCTATTTACCTATAGCTGGTGTGGGAGGAGAAGAAGAGGATTCATATCTTTCGCAGTGGTATTAGCACGAAAGTGAATGTAATGGATTCGACTGGAATTCGAACTCGGCCCTCCGCTGTGATCTTAGTTTATTTTTGTTTTGTTTTTTACAGAAATGATCAGTAGAAAATATCGTGACGCCATTAATGACCTCTGGCTGCGGCCCGGAAAGAAATGATATGCAACAGAAGTCAAGGAAATAATAATAATAATAATAAGAAGAAGAAGAAGAAGAAGAAGAAGAAGAAGAAGCATTTCGCTATATTTCTCTATCTCTTTTTCTCGTTTTTTTTGCTTTCTTTCTCTCTTTCTGTATTACTGTTTCACACACTCTCATTTTCATTCTCTATCTTTCTGCATCTTTTTCTCTCACACTAGTTGTAGCTCTTTCTCTCTTTTTCCATCGTCTCGTTCTGTTCCTCTTTGTTTATCTTTCTTTCTTTATTGCTGTTTCTCTCTCTCCCCCTCTCTTTCACACACTCTTTTTACTTTTCCTCTATATCTTCGCTTTCTCTCTCTTTCTTTCTATCCTTAATTCTTCTTTCCCTTCATCCTCTATCTCTTTCTCTCTGTTTCTCTACATTTGTCTTCCTGCATTTCCTCCTCTCTTTTCTTTTTTTCTTTTTTCTATCCCCCCCATCCTTCAATATTCTGCCCTTTCTGAATCTGTTCTGCATCTCTTCCTAATTTTTTTTGTCGATACGCTAATTCACGGCCTCATTCTTTGATGAATATTAAAGAAATCTTGGAAGTGCCATTGAATTTTACACGGTAGTTTATTCCTTGTGTAATCGGCGAACTGTCCGACATTGATGACCAGCCTCAGGAAACTCTCACTATCTAGGAAAACAAATGAAGGAACTTAATATAGCAAAGGTCGTTCAGCGTTTAATGCCGCCTTGTCTATATTATCGAGGCAAAGACATTATTTTTCGACAACGCTAGCATGGCGTGGAAGAAAAAAAACATTAATTTTTTATGAGGATCTAAATGAAAAATATCTGCGAAGTGTTTTAACAGGGATATGGAAAATATGATGAAGAAATCGAAAAGCATATGGGAGTAACTCACACTCCCTTTCAAAAGCTAAGCAAAGTATTAAATAACAAGACAATTTCGTTAGAAACTTTTGTGATTTCAACGAACACTCGTTGTCACTTTTGTAATGTCAACGAATACTCGTTGTCACTTTCGTAATTCTCGTTGTAGTAGAGACTTTCTAATCGCAGATACAACTAAAGTAACGCCGTTGAACAATACTGGTGTCAGACGCCTTTGAATATCACTTGCACTAAATAGTACTTGCTCGGTAATACTCGCTTGAAAAGTAACCACCGAATAGTGATCTATATAGTGATCAGTATAGAGAAATAGTATCGTGAATAGTGCTCATTTTCCAAGCATAGTTTAGATGTGTTTTTGTTATCTAGAAATTTGCTATGGCGTCTTAGAAAATGAAGTGGAACTGTTTCCTTCGATTTCTACACAGATATTTTTTCTTTTGTAACCATGAATTGTTTTGTGTTGCCAACGAACACTCGTTGCCACTTTTTTGATGTCAACGAATACTCGTTGTCACTTTCGTAATGCTCGTTGTAGTAGAGACTTTGTAATCGCAGATACAACTATAGAAACGCCGTTGAACAATACTGGTGTCAGACGCCTTTGAATAACACTCGGACTAATAGTACTTGCTCGATAATATTCGTTCGAAAAGTAGCCACCAAATAGTGAGCAATATCGAGAAATAGTATAGTGAATAGTATACAGATAGAGGATAGTGTAGAAATAGTAATCCCTATAGTAATAGAGGATAGAATAGAAATAGTGATCAATTAGACACCACGATAATTCTAATATACATTCCTTTTAAGATCATATAGCTTACTTAACAGAAATGGAATCACCTATGTTTTCTCACTAGTGATCTGAGTTTAAACTCAAGTGTCGACAGCAATACTTTATTTCTATATAACAGAAACGAAGAAAAGAATACTGAACTGTTATGTAATGTCAGTCCGCCTATATGGATGTGAGTCTCCTCACAGCTGAAGAAGAGACGTAAGGCAAATGAAATACTGTTTTACATTAAGACGCGGCCTTTTAAGATACAAAAAAAGACACTTGTACAAATTTACTTCAATCAAGGCAATAAAGCCACTAAGACTCAAGGGGGTTTATCGTGTGTGAAAAGTTAGAAAACAGAAACATTATTAAAGAGCGAAAACAATAGAAGAGTAATCAAGAAGACATTGCATTTGAATTTGATATCAAAGAATAGAACCGTAAGAAAGTTCCACAAGCGAATAGTACGAAAAAAAAAAAACTGTTGGCATAGAACTTACCCTTACATTTAGCCAAGTCAACTGTAAATTTATGAGATCTTTTTGGTAATCTAGTACAGCGCTTAAATTTATTAAGTCTAAGTACCATATTGAGGAGCGATATTTATTCTGCATTATGTCCAGAAATCTGACACAAGTCCAAAATAGGGAATGGGGAAAGAAGATGGTTTTCTTCTGTCATATCATTAAACTTAGCAAGTCGGATTACTGACCCAAACACACCACAATATTCCTTAATCCATAAACAACGCAATCTTAATTACAATTCTTACAACACTCACCATAATACCTCAATGTCTCTATGAAGTCCTAGATGGTCTCCATATGAAAACTTTTTGTTGGTGGTACTGGGGGATATATAGCAACAATTTTAAAAAGCTCTTTCTGCTCTCAGCTCTCTCTCTCTCTCTCTCTTTCTCTCTGCCCTTTTCGGCTTCTCCTATAGCCTATATAAGGGAAACAAACCGACGTACTTGTAAATATCTGTGACAAGCGAGAGTCACGTCGAGTATGGCCAGCACTCAAATTTGGCTTTAATTTGTTATATCTAACTCTGTGTAAATTGTGTTTTTCTGCTACAGGATAATGGCTCGGAATTGTTAATGGGAGGACCGAGTTCCAATTCCATTTGGGTTCGTTATATTCACTTACACACCAATAACCTTGGGAAAGATATGAATCCACCACTTCCTCCTCCAGCTATGGATTAATTAGTAATGATTGTATCAAGAAATCATTATAATCTAAAAAAAAAAATCTTA